GGGTAGTAGTCGAGCGCTTAACTGTGCCACCCAGGTACTGTTTTCATACTAAGATTTTGAAATCTAGTGCATATTTTACACTCACAGCATTATCTCAATTTGGGCTACTCACATTTCAAATAATAAATGCATATGGCTTAGTGGCTACAGTATTACAGTGCTGTTCTAACATACCACAAATGCCTTGTCTAAAACTGAACTCATTGTTTACCTTAAATCTGACCCTAATACATTCCCTGCATTGGTGAATAACGTCTACATAAACATAGTACACAGAAATCATTTCAGATGTCTTCACTCCCTTACCTGCTATAGCCAATTGTATTAGTTACCTAGTGCTCCTATAACACAAACACCACAAGTGTATGGCTTTAAAGAACAGAAATTTATTTTCTCACATTTCTGGGGGCTAAAAGTCCAAATCAGGGTCTGCACTGTGTTGATTCCTTCCTTGTTGGTAGCATTCCTTGATTCCTTGACGTTCCTTGTCTGCCCCTGTGTGTCTCTGTGTCTATTCTGGTCTCTTCTTAACTCAGAAGTGATTAGGTTTAAGATCTACCCTCCACTGGTATGGCTTCATTAACATAACAAAAAAACCATATTTCCAAACAGGATTACATTCAGAGGTACAAAGGCCAGGAATTCAAAACAAATTTTGGAGAGGATACAATTCAAGCCATAACATTTCACCCTTTGTCCCCCCCAACAAAATTCACGTCCTTCCCACATGTAAAAACATATTCACCATATCACATCCTCCCCAAAAGTCTTAATTCAATATCAACTCAAGTTCTAAAATCTCATCTTCTGTATCATCTAAATCTAGTATGGGTGATACTCTGGGTATGTTCCATCCTAGCGCAAAATTCCTCCCCATCTTTGGACCTGTGAAATCTAGAATACAAATTATCTGCTTCCAAAGTACAATGGTGGAACAGGCACAAGGTAGTCATTTTCATTCCAAAAAGGATAAACTGGAGGGAAAGAGAAGATCAAAGGTAATAATAAGCAAGTGTAAAACGCAGCGGGGCAAATCTCATTACCTCTTGAGGCTTGAAAATAATCCTCTATACTCCAGGCACTTATGGACAATCATCCAACCTCCAGACTCTGGGTGTTGGCCATGTTCTCTGGATTCTAGGCCAAGATCCCACGGCCCTGGGTGTCAGCCCTGCTATCCAGGCCTAATGCTACAGCAATCCCACACCCTCAGTCCTGTGTTGCCCTGTTCTCCTGGTCCACCAGCATGGTAGTCCCAACCCCTCAACTTTGGGCCCTATTCTCCTGGCTCACATGCATGGCAGCCACACCCTCTGGAACTGAGCTGATGGCAACTCCACTCTTTGAAACTAACAGGCAGTGGTTTCACCCTTTGAGACCCAGAAGGTGGTGGCTCCACCTTTAGAAACTAAGGAAGTGGTAGCCCTGCTATCCATGCTCCTCCTGACAGTCCAGCTGGTCTCAGAACTGCTCTAGGGATCGTTTCTTCCTTTTCTTAGAGGACAACAGATGTTCGCAACTAAGTAGCTCCACTGGCCCATTTCCTACCTGTAGTATTCCAGTAGGCAGACAGCCTTCCTTCATTTTGTCCTGTCTCTGCCCCTTTCAGTCTAGGCTGGCAAGATTTCTACTGAGGTTGTTGACTAGATCCACCAGTCACAGGCCTAATCTCTTTAGTAAATGGCTGTTTAGCCATACCTTGGTGTCCTTTTCCAGGGCGTGCTTCCTTAGTTTTTACAATAGAATTTTCTAAATCTTTAAGCTGTAGTTTCTTTTTGCACAGTTCATCTCTAAATCTATCTCATTCCTCTCCCATTTCACTATAAGCAGAAAAAGACACCATGTCACATTTGCTTAGAAATCTCAGTGAAATATCCAAGTTCATCACTTATAAGCTCTAAAACAAAAAACAAAACAAAAAAACCCATTGCTGTTGAGTAAATTTCGACTCATAAAGACCCTATAGGACAGAGTAGAACTGCCCCATAGGTTTCCAAGGCTGTAAATCTTTACAGAAGCAGACTGCCACATTTTTCTCCCGTGGAGCCGGCTGATGGGTTTGAACCTTTGACCTTTCGGTTAGCAGCTGAGCACTTAACCACTGCATCACCAGGGCTCTCAAGTTCTACTTCCCACAAAACAAACATAATTCAGACAAGTTGTTTGCCACTTTATAACAAGAATTACCTTTCCTCCAATGTCCAATAACATGTTCATCATTTCCTTTTAAAGCCTCACCAGAAGCATGTTTAACATCCACATTTCTAGTAACATTCTGTTCATTATTACCGAAGTGTTCCCCACAGATCTCAGTTCTTTCCAGCTGTCACTGGAATCGCCCTTAACAACCATAATTCTACCAACAGTTTTTTCAAAGCAATCTAGGTTCTCACTATCAAGTACATCAAAATTCTTCCAGCCTCTACCCATTACCCAATTCCAAAGCCCTTTCTACATTTTAGGTATCTGTTACCAAAGCACTCAAATGCTCTGGTACCAAATTCTGTCTTTGTTACTTAGTGCTGCTATAACACAAATACCTCAAGTGGGTCGCTTTAGGAATAGATTATGTATTGTCTCACAGGTGTGGAAGCTAAAGTCCAAATGAGGGTCTTGGCTGTGCAGAATTCTTCCTTGTTGGTGGTCCTGGGCATTCCTTGGTTTCTTGGCTTGTAGACGTAGCTCACATGAGCCTTGTCTTCTGTGTGTCTCTGTGATTATTGTGGTCTTTTATAACTCAGAAGTGATTAGGTTTATGATCCACCCTACACCTGTATGACATCATTAACATAACAAAAGAAAAACCCTATTTCCAAATAGGACTGCACCCACAGGTACAAGAACCAGGAATTCAACATATATTTTGGGAGGACACAATTGAATCTGTAACACTAATCAATTACTAATGTCTTATTCATTCTACCTCCTAAGTATCTCTTACAATTCTATATAGTGATGGCTTGTTTGTAACTCTATTGGACCACTAAATTGTAAGTTCCATTAACTCAGGATGTCTTCAATACCAGACACATAGTAGACATCCATTAAACATTTGCTCTATGAAGAAAATAAATGATGGTGGAATCAAAGAAGTTTTCTGAGGCAACTAAGAACTAAACTTCAGAGAAGTGTAAGGGTAGAGAACTAGAAGTCAAAAGAATTAAACTATAGAAATGACAACCATCATAAGGCCAAAAGAAAAGTCAGTAAATTAAATTAAAATCCAAATAAAATTCTAAAGATAAAAATTATTAGGCAATAATTACATTTAAAGTAACAATCAAGATAAATTTAAATATGACAAAATTTCATAAGTAACCAAATTTCCATTCATTCCATTTGGCTTTTAATAGGATATACTATTATATAGTATATTCCACCTTTATGTTCAGATCCACATTCCTTACTAAAATGTTTTACTTATTTTATACTAAATAATCTTCATTGAAAACATACACATAAAGCTTCAAAAGTTAGTAAAGCCAAGTTTAACAGATCACAGGCTTACAGGCTAACAGATCTTAAAGATAACTTAGAGATCATCTGGTCTAATTCCCTCATCTTACAGATGAGAAACTAAGGACTGGAGAACTGAAGAGATTTCTCAAAAGTCACAGATCAAGTTAGTGATAGATCTGCTATAATAATATTCTGTTTATGAGCAAATACTACAATGACTTGTGATTTTTTTTTTTTAATAATTAAAACAAGTGCTATGACTACCCTAATACTTCAATGAAAATGTCAGTGGGATCAATGTTTACTGTACTCCTAAGCTATGTAAGAATATAATCATATTTAAAAATTCCATATCTAAAACAACAAACTGAAATTCCATTTAAGAAAAATACAAATAGCCAAAAAATAAATGAGCTAAGAATCTGTAGGAAGAGCAAAGGACAAGAGGACAGAGAAAAGCAAATTATTTGCACTTACAAAAATAATTTGGTTTTCTTGAGGTTTTTAAAACTCTTTAATAGACAAACGTTGCAGACCATTGCAATTTAAAGTGAAAGTCTTAATAAGTTTAAGAAAAATCCAAAATGAAAATCAAAAAAATACAATTTGATACACAGCAATCTGATTTATAAGAGATTTTTAAGAAATACACCAATGGTGCAAATTTATTGTGTTTAAAATTATTAATTTCACTAAAGTTAAGTTCATTTTAAGAGGTTCTAAAAAATATGAAGAACAAAATCAAAAGTAATTCCAAAATAAACATGCCTGATAAGTTACAAATTAAAAGAAATTAAAATTAAGTATATCTATAAATCCCTTTAACATAGCACTTAAGATTTAAATTAGGTATATTAAATGTATACTGGAATTTCTGCAAGCTGTAATTATAAGGCTATAATGTCATTATTTCTGGAAGGAAAAAGTAGTAATTGAAAAAATATTTTCAATCAAATGTTTTAAAATTTAGATTAGACTTTAAGTCGCCCGTATTTTTCTCCCACAGAACACAGATTTTTATAAGGGCCTAATTCATAAAATCTTCAGCATTTCTCAAGAATAGTATTTGGCCTGCTATCAAACCTAAAGATACACTAATTAATACACTGCAAGAAATAACAGCACAGTTCAGAAAGAATTAAAACGTATTTTACGCCATCCAACAAACAGGATTTAGAGTCAAGGCATCCATCATCTGCCATGGTTGTTTCTGCTTAACAGTAAATAAAGACGTTAGTACGCTATTGCCCTAAAACTAAGATTCTCCCCTAAAAACTATTTTAGATCCATACGTAATACTTCTTAAATCTTCATCTTAATCAAATGAAATTAAGATGAAGGAAATTTCTACTAGCAGAGCAGGGATTATTCTTGTAATCAATTATCATATAATTACAAATTGCACTTTGCACATTTAGTTAAAAGTTGGGAAAGAATTATCAGTCCACTGTGTATAATTCAACATATTAAGTTTTGAATCACTAATCTAAAATTAAAGAAAAAGTCTTAGAGCATTAAAACCCCACACCTGAAAGACTTACCATTTTATCTAGATGTTCAATGGATCTATAAATCTCCCCCTGGGATTCATCATAGTAACTGTAACGGAACCTTTGACCTTGAAACAAATATCATGTACAAAATAAAATAGGGAAAAATTAGAAGCTAAAAGAAAGCAAGTGCTTACCAAATAATTTCAGTTCTCATGAAAGGCAAAGCATAGCTTAAGCCTCTGAGAGAATCATTCCCAGGAGCCCTTGTATATAAAAGCCATATTTGGGAAGGTAATAAAGAAATGATCTATCACCACAGTGTTTGATGTTTTATGTTAAAAACTATTTCAAGTTGTAGAACCTTAAAGTCATCAGCAATACAAAAGATTAAGGAAACAAAACAGCTTATAAAGTTAGAAGCATTGTTAAACATGTATCAGTCTAATGAAAAATAAACTTAAAGAATATGATTCAAGAAAATTTGTCTCAAGGAAACTATCTCAGTGTAACAAATCATTGAAAGCTTAGCTTTTGCTGTACAGATGCAAAGATTTGGTTTTTCTTACAGAAAAAATGCGCAGGTCGAGGATACATGCGGCTTGTATGATTTTCATGACCTTGATATAAAAATTATCTTTTTTGCAAAACTTTCTATTTGGAAAAGGATCTGTACAACTACCTTATGTGTACAAAAGCATAAATATAATAGTCCTACTCTGACATAAAATCTCAATAAGAATACAAATATAGAACATTAAATGTTTAGTTGTTCTGCAAAGAACAGAGAGGGTAAAATGGAGGAAGCTTAAAAAGAAGACAGAGAAATCAAAAGGCTCATAAAACAAATCCTGTTTCTTACTACAGTTATATGAAACCAAAAATTAAACACATTCTTAAGTAATTATGAATTGTTATCGAGCTAAGATATATTTCAGATACACCTAAACCTATCTTTCAGTAATGCTTTTTTCCCAAGAACTCATTACTTTTCTATTTCCTAATTTTTTAAGTTTCACCAAAACCCATTTATAAAGGTATCAGAATACATCAATCATGTACACACAGTATGTGTCTTGTGCTTCATGTTTAGAGCAATGTTCATGTACCTAAATTATTATCCTCACACATCTGAGTAGATGGGTTTCTTTGACTAGATAATTAGGATCCTTAAGGTGTTTGTTCAGCTTACTAAAAAATATTATCTTACAAAATTATAAAATCCTTTTTCATGTCCTTTTGAGAAAAACCATGTATCAAAGAACTTCATTTATTGATGCTGATCATTCTTTGACAGTCATTTTTCTAAAATATACCGTATCTCCTTGACTTTCACATACAATTAATATATACAATTACTCAATGTGGCAGTTCTTATTTTCCCTCCAAGAGCCATTATTAAATCAATATCGCATCTTACAGCTGGTGGTATCCTAGAATCAAGCAATAGGGTTCTGAGGCTGTCTCTGCTTTCTGAATATATTTAACCTCTTTTGTAAACACTGTAAATTACTGCATGTTTTCATAGCTATGAGATCCATTACAGTCCTTGAACTAAAAAAACTGTAAGAGATGACAGTGACAATCACTCAATGCCCACACAATAAATAATTCATGAGATTTCTTTCTTTCAAAACGTAGTTAGGTATAGCTTTGTTCTTCCTTAACGAATGTGTTGCATATGTATATACCTCCTCCTATCCAATAAAGAGAACTATATAATTGATGCTATTTTTCCTGTTTGCCATGACTGCCAGAAGGCTCAAAACCAAACCTAAAGTTCTATCATAGCAACTTACTGACTCAATTCATTGATACTGAATTTGTACTTCTATTCCAAAGTTCTTTTGATAAAATCTGCCCAGAATCTTTGGTGAAGTGAATGAACAATTAAATGAATGATCTTAGACAAGAAAATTCTGACTCACTGTCACTGTACTGTACTGTACTAATAGTAATATCCTTGGAAGAAATCAAGATGTATATTTTTGAACCTGACCTGCTTTGGGTTTATACTAATATATTCTCTTTTCCCTGCTTCTGGAAATAGCTGTTAGTTTAGCCACTTTCAGCAGGCCCTGTGATTAGGACATAATTGTCTTATTGGAAAATTGCTACTCCCAGGTGCAGAGAAAAGTTCATATACCTTGTGACAGCCATTTGTTACTCAAAAATCCTTTCTACTTATGTCCAAGTTCAAAGCTGCTGTTTCAAATGGTTAAAGTTGGTCAAGTCTGCCTCAATAGTAAATGAAAAGTGTAACTATATTTTAAAATGCTATATTGTTCATATGGACCATTTCAGTGCAACCTTCACTTTAAAAATGCTTCTAAAGGAATAGAAAAATCATACAGACTTTTGGAGTTTTCAGACTATGGAAACTGTGATTTAATAAGGATGACAAAATACACAGAAAATCAATTTGACAAATGTTTAATATTTTGCTATATACTTTTTGCTACTCTTCAGTATCCACCTCAAACTTAGTAGTAACTGAGCATAAATACTTGAACAACGTATCTGTTAAGAAGCTAAATCCATACTAAACATAGCTACTATACCAAAAAATATTTTACTTATAACAGCTCACTGTCTTAGGATAATTTAAAAAAATGTACAAATATTTAAAAATTACTTGAGCAATGAGTTCTGTTCAATATACATCCAGAAAGCACCTAATGTGAAGTAAATAGTTGTCATCATCCTAGCCACAAACATACACACACACACAACTTCAGTTAAATACCACTTGGAATTTGAGTTCAAAAGACTTGTTTTTGTTTCTTACTATTAAAAAAATAATTTTATCAAGATTTTATTTAATAAGAGGGGAAATGACAGAACTAGCACAATACACTGATCATAAATGCAATCTTAATTCAATATTTATTATCAATTTAAAATAAATTATTTCATGTACCTCATAAGCAGATATAATTTGTTTTGTAAGTTTTTATATTTCTAACATTCCGTAAAACTTATGAATCTAAACTGTGAACAAACACAGTTGCCTTAGTACCTGGAGAACTGGACTTGTGTATTTTTATAAGTATGAAAAAAGCGTATCACGTAGTAAGAGAAAATTACTTACCTGAAACTTATCCTTTCAGAAGGTACACTGGGAAAATGGATTCTTTGAGCCCCTGTTTCAACTTCAAGTATGCGCTTTCTAGCTTTAAGAGCCACTGACACTGCCCCTAGGGACAGCACAAGCTTTGGACTCCCCTACTGAGTATGTCAGTAGTTTCTTCAGGTGCCTTCCCTCAGTTCTTTTCAAATTCAAAAGATGAGAGGAAAAATAACCCAAGAAAAAAAATCCTGTAAAGCAGAAACCTTACTCTTTGAGGAAAGGAGGGTAGCTCATTTGTGAATCCATTCCAGAGCACGCTTTCTGAGAAAAAGAAATACAGGTAAGTAATTTTCCCATCTCCAAAGGTGACTGGTGATTAATGAGTGGATTCACAAAGTTTGGAGAATAAGCTCCAGGGATGTCTGTTTAACACACAACAATCAACTAATGAGGACAAACAACAATGAATGGTACAAGAATCAACACTACTTTTTAAGCACCTCCAAAAAGTTAAATAAATATTAAAATACCTTAATATTAAGCTATCCACTGGATTGCAGAAATAAAGCTTGGAAAGTTAATTTATAAAGTCCCCAAAAGATCAATCAGTAAGACAGATTTTCAGACATATGTGTAATACAAATTATACTGTTACACATTTACTGTAGGATTTTATGTTTATATGTAAGAGCACCTTCAAATATTTGAGTTAACCTCACAACAAATTTTCAGATAGGATATTAGGCCATTCTACAGCCAAACTAAGGACCTAAACTGGGGACATTCACCACTGAAAATCACTACCAAAGGGAAAATGTATTTCATAAAAAAATTATCTAAGTAGCATAAAATAATCATTTTTTCATGTAACAAAATACTATCGTCCTTTTATTCTGGAGTCTTACTCTTAAACTTGCAAGAGATCAAAAACCTGATTACGTGAAATCAGTATGTACAAATATTTAAGAAAATATGAAGGCCTGGATAAGATATATTTTAGGAATTAGCTAACTTGCATTCAAACCAACATAAATATTTAGAAAATAATAATAGCGATGTACACAAGAGATTAAGAAAAAGGAAGACTATGCATAATCACTTGTTAATATAAATTTAAAAAGAAATCTAAATAGTTGAAGGTATAAATTTCATAAATAATTAGGGCAAAATGCCATTTTTAACAAGTGTCATATATTTATAAAAAGGAAATCATGTAAACCTAGATAAATGGAAGTCTGTGGATCAAAATTCAAAATTGCCAAAGAGACTTAATAAATTTTATTCATATTTTAACAAAATAATATAATGTGTCATAAGTATTTGCCAAGTAAATTTATTGAAATTAATTTGGAAAACCACCATAAATGGCAAATCAAGTAAGAGCCTACTTTTAAAGAATCAATTTCTGTTAGATCCAGTTTCATTTCATATCTTCTTAAGAGTTAACCAAAAATTATGTTAATGAAAGCAGCCAATAATCTAAATTTGGAAACATAAATTTCAGGGAGATTGAAAAAACACAAATATTAACAGTATATATATGGAGAAAAGTAAAAATGAAACTTAGGAAAACAGAATGAAAATTCTACTAACTAGAAATAAAATTCACTTATATGGCATCATCCTATAGGATGCAGAACTTGGTAAGTACACAAAGTATCGGGGTATTACTTAACCATGGTAAAAATAAAAAACTAGCAGCAAATATCCTTTCATTTATTTTATCTTCCTGCTAGTAGCAGGAGGAGAGAATGGTTACTTGGGAAATATTATCTGATTGGGTTAACTCAAGCATTTCCCTTTATAACATTGATAAAATAAAAGGCAGAAGTAAAATACAGGATTTCCTTTTGGGGACTCAAATGAGGAGATAGAAAAAAGATGGTACACAGAATCTAGGTTCCTGTCTCTCCATTAAGTTTCTCTCACCCCAAAGGAAATCTTAAAGAGAATTTTAGTTTTTCTACCTTTACCTTCTTACGTCTTTTCAAGTCTAAATAAAAGCTAAATGGGTCCAGAAAGATGAACATCTTTAAAGTAAAATACATTAAAAAAAAGAAGTCATTCTTGTCGTGGATATTGGCTAACAATTAAGGTCAATAAGGCAAAATCCCTCCAATTTACAGAACTTCCAACTGTCTTTATCACCAAGTTTCTCACTTTCTTTTCCACAGAAGATGGACAAAATATGAGAACCAATGACTAGAAATAAAAAATGTGGTCACTACCGATAATCTTCTATAATATTACTGAACAAAAACAAAGGAACTTCCACTGTATATATGAGTAATTTGTCAAATGTGCCATAATCAATTAGGTGATTTTTCTTCAAAAATCAGCTATTAAGAAACGTGGAGTTTGTTGAGAGCCTAACTGAATGAACCTTTTCAGGTCTCTGCATACTTGGAGAACGCAATCCTTCCAGTGTACTGATTTAGAATTCAGTGTTATGATTAGTTTGGTATGGTATCTTTTAAAAAAAGAAAGAAAGAAAGGAAAAAAGCACCCCTAAATATTATCTTCATGAAAAAAGCCAGATTTTTGAGATGGGAATACAGCACTCTTCCTAAGTCAGGAAAGATACCCCAAAATGCCACTAGAGCATGAATCTGAGAAACATGAAACTTAATTCCTAAGTAAAGACAGCTTAACCCATAGCTAGCCAATAATTCATATTACTTCAACAGGTATGTAAAATAGAGAATGAGTCTTACTTTACAAGAATGACAGTTAATATTACTATGGTAGTAAGGAGACAAATAATTTAGCAACAGTATCCATGTGACAACTTCCCCTTACTTCCCAAACCCATTGCTGTCAAGTCATGACCCTATATGACAGAGTAGAACTGCCCCATAGGGTTTCCAAGGAGCAGCTGGTGGATTTGAACTGCTGTCTGCTCAGCTGCTGAGCTCATAACCACTGCACCACCAGCACTCCAGCCCTTTACTTCCCAACTCCCATCAAACTTCCTACCAAGAACTAGCACAGTGCCTTCCATAAGTACAAAGTTAAGCACTTAATGAGTATTGTTAGTGATGATGACACAATAAAATGAACATCTGGAAAAATTCTGTTACTCAACCACCAAATGTAAATGTTTCAGTTCTGAATAATTCTCATAGCTAACATTTACCAACCTTCTAAAATTTTAGGTTCTTTTTTGTAAATATAACATGGAAATCCTATCTTACCATTTAAATGCTAAGATTTTCAAGAAATCAGGGGAGATCACATGACCTAACCAATTTTCTGACAATGTAGGTAGAATGTAAAACAGCATTCATTTTTCTTTCTCTATCTTTGTACTTAAATACAGTCAAGGACTAGAGTTTGCTTGCTTTGGAATATTAAAAAATCCCCGATATGGCAGATTCTCTCTTCATGAATGATATCCAAAAAAAAAAAGATGACTCTAAAGAAGACGGTAATACGAGGGCACCTACTAACGTCTGATGTGAATTTATGTTGTGATTGCACATGGTGCCAATCTAGACCAAGTTCAGACTCTGAAGAACAGTATTAGGGAAACTAATTATTTAAAATCAAGTAGTTCATAACAGCCTTAAAAATGAAAGAGGACAGAGCAAAGTTTTGAGAATTTTTAATTTTCAAAACATGTTTTGTTACCAAAGCAAATTCACAATGCTAAGAAAAATAGCCCTTTTAACAGTAATGATACTCTCCAGGTTAAGACCAACCATTACAAAATTTCGGAATACCAAAGAAATTATTAAAAAAAAAAAAAAAAAAGTCCTTTTAAGCATCTAGTGTCTAGTCCTCAAATCCGAAGAGAATATACATATTCATAAAAAATAACTTATTTGGCAAGAAAGCTCAGCTATCTGCATATCCTAAACCAGGTTTTCCCAACCTCAGCACTATTACCATTTTGGACCAGAAAATTCTTTGATGTGGGGGGCCGTCCTGCGCACTGTAAGATGTTCAGTAGCATCCCTGGCCTCTACCCGCTAGATGCCAGTACCACACCACTTTTCCCCACTTGTGATGACCAAAAATGTCTCCAGACATTGCCAAATGCCCCCCCAGGGGGAAAAAATGCCCCTAGTTGAGAATCACTGCCTTAAACAAAAAACTATACCATTAGGAACAATGGTTGTCTTCAAATGAGATCATACCTTTAAGAAAGCCACTCAGTGTGGGGGGTAAGAGAAGATACCAGCCTAACCAGGCTAGATATACTGAAATCAACTCTGGTAATCAATGGTAAGACATGTAAAAGCCAGGGCACCTTACATTTCAATAAGAATGTTTTTCTGGCCATTCTAGCATTCTACCTTAAAAATTGTGGTCTTCTGCTTTGATGTTTTCTCTATAATCAAAGAACTGGATGACAAATGAACAGATACTGGCATCCTTAAACAATGAATAAATGGATCAAAGAGATGTCCTAAAAAGAATGGAACTCATAAATATGCTGGGATAGTACTGGGTAAATGAGAGAAAATTATATCCAAAGAATCCAAAAAACAAAGATTACCAAAAGAAGTGTCCACAAAGGATTCACTTCCTCTATCACATATTCATTATTATTCTTTAAATCCATAAAAATCACTTAAGAGTCCTTACCCTTATAAACCACTACCAATGCAGATTATAGTGATAAATAGCCAATGTGCTGTCTTTGGAGGGTATATCTAAACTGATGCCAACTGTGAGCAAAAATTAAGCCCCAAGGTGAAAAAATTTTAAAAAGGCTAATTATAAAAAAGGAAATGTGGAAAAGGACTAGCATAGCATATAGTACTCTTCTATATTCTAATGAAGAATGTTTGTTTTACCCACCATAAAACCAACTACAGAGAATCTACAATGCATACTCTAGCTGGAAATGGGGTTAAAAGATCTTAACGCTATTAACATTAAGTGCCTAAGTAAGGATGCCCTCACAGTGTGAATCCAATTATACCAGTCGCCTTTGGAAATGTATCTATAATTCACTATTATAATCTGATCTGTTTTAAATGACCAAAAAACTTTTTTATTCACTTTTAAACATTGTTAAAAGTAAAATTTCCCAAGGAAAGTGATAACTGAAAACCAGAACTTAGAATGAAAAGATACCTTTAACCACAAGTATACAGTATCTACCATGATATGTTAAAATCTAGAACTTACCCCAATGGCAGAAATCAGAAGAAACCACAAAGAGATTACTAGGATCCGCCAGGTATTTACTGAAGAGTTTTCCGAATTCCTGTTCTTTTGACTCACTCAGAGCTCCAACCAGTACAGGAATAATGGTAAACTCATCCTTATGGCTTAAAGAAAACAGAGGGGGGAAAAAAAAAAAGGCTTTTAAGATGTTTAAGAATAAAAACAGTTTTCCAAATATGCTGGCACTAGAAAGTGGAATGTTTATTAACAGCGGTAAGGATAACATACATAATACTGTTGACTTTAAAATCTAAAAATCGAATGTTTAAAGAGGACAGTTTAAAAGTATAAAACATACAAAATACTAAAAACATCAATTTAAACCATATAAATGTACACTACTTCTTTAGGTAAACAAAGGTATTTTACTACCAGGTATACTAATATCCTCAAAAGTAAAGATAAGCCAATCAGACCATTACCAACTCAAATCTTCTCAAATCTACCCATCAGAGCTATAATCATCTGTTTAATCCTTCTGCAACTTTAAAAAAGCATCAAACTCTTCCTCGCCTTTTTAAAACTGTATCCTATTATAAATGCCATCATTTCTGGCACTTGTTCTGTAAACCTGCTAAGTGAGAACTATAAAACTCATTAATCTTGGCTCCCATAAGATTCACCAACTGTACTTTTATACCTATCCTAATGAACGGATATAGAACAGTCTACAGATATAACTCAAATTTCATTGGCATGTAGGGTAGACACAGAAGCAAGGAAGCCAGTAATATTTTTTACCAGCAAGAAAAAAGACACCACACCCACTCAGAATTATCCACAAGTCCCTTTTTCACTCTACAGTTTGATGAATACATGGAAAAGGAACAGAGCAGATTAATAAAGCATAACTATCATAGGTTATAGAAATAGATGGTTGTCCAAAAATCTTTTTAAAATTTTAATTACAGTGAAATTTTATTTACACATATTCAGTGTTACTTATATGCTAAATGATCACAGATTTGGAATTTTTAGAAGCATGAATCATGTTTGTATGACTTATTTTGAACTTAAAAAAAAATCATTATAATAAATGACACTTAACTGCTGTAGGACAAACAATTCATAGAAAGGTTTTTAAAAATACTAAGTTTAAGAATCCCAAAATAAATATTACCCCAGCTGCATAAAGCTAAATTCAGGGCACCCAAGCGCCTCCCCCAGAAAGGCCCCCTTACCCTTGTCAATTGCGAAATAAACAGATCATACAGATCTCCAGTCCCTCTGCAATGCAGGGGCTTCTTGGGCAGAATCTGCATCTATGGAGTAAGAAAAAAAGAGGAAGCTGGCAGAGGAAGCTGCCATGGGACATCTCCTTCTGTGACTCTTACCAGTTTGCTTAATAACTGCCTGAATGAATAGGGACTCTTCAATGAGTTAAGAATGATTATCATTTGGGGAAAAAAAAAAAAAAAAAGAATTTGAGCTCCTAGTAAAAATTTAGGAAGACTGTTGTGAACTGTTCCAATCTTAAGTACTATCTACATAAATAAATACACTAAGATCATCAAGGAATCCTGAAGTAATTATAACATGGTAGAGAAAGGAAAGCAGTTAGGTAGAATATAAAGAATAAGGAGAAGTCAGAAGAAAGGGGTTCAAGTCCCATCTCTACCACATACAAAGGTTGAGAGCAAGGGTAAGTCCCTAACCTGAGAATTAGTTTCCTTATCTGTAAAATAATAATACCTATTTCATAAAATTGTTATGGAGCAAGGAATATCATAGGGAAACAACACATGTTGTTCCAGGAGAGCGACCAAACCCTTCAATCAACCTCAGTTTGAGCTTGCAAATCTACTTATACAAACGTAAACATCTCGTACTGCTTAGAAATCTAACACTTAATCAAGGTTCATCCATTCACCCCTCTGTTATTTATTTCTCTCTTTAAAAAAATTACTTGTTCTCTAATCCCACAGAAAAAGGTAGCATGAGTTAAGGAAAAAACCATTTATCTTTGGAGACTGTAATATACCTGGGTTTTAAAATCTGAGTTCTGAAGAGGGCTTCCCTCTAGTGGAGGAGTACGAAGTCCCTCCCCAAAAGAACGATTATAAAACTGGATGAAACTATCAGAACAACCATTTCTGGGTTCTGAAAACCAACCAAAGGCAAAACACAAAGTGAGAAGAATATATTGACGAAAACAGCTGAACTTCTGGTAAGACCAGTGAGGTTGGCTATGAAAACCAATAGCTTCACTGCTGAAAGGGAAATGACTCTGATTGGAATAGAGGGCAGAAAACCCACACCCAGCTGGGAACAGAAAAGCCTACAGCTCTCTTAGCCTGAGATTGTTGTAAGAGTTAGGGCAAGCTGCTACTTGACGACCAGCCAGAAATTCAACAGAAAAATCTTGGAAATGAGAGAGCCACAGTGAGTTTTGATACATTCTCCACAAATCCCTGAGGAGAGGGCCTATGCACTCCATACAACCCTGGCTGACTAGCAGATTGCACACACAAGCAGGAGAGACCCATAAGATCCCAAGCTCCCTCACAAAATGTCAGCTAATTGGGGAGACCTGAGAGAAACCAAGCTCTTCACTCATCCCTGGCTGCTGGGAATCTGTGTGCATATACATGGGAGACCTAAGAGAATCCAATGGGAAGTAAAAGAGCCAAACTTAAAAATGGCCTGAACTTTGAATATGCTTCCCAAAACATGCACAATCCACTGGCAGAGGGTGAAAGCACAATCTCCAATTAATCATTTGCTAAGCAATAAGCTATGTAGACACACAGGTGAACTCTAGGAAGCCAATATAAAAAATAAGAATTGCAAAAAAAAAAAGGTGGGGAGACAGAGTAGCAATCATGAGGAAAACAGACTCCACAGAGTAAGACCAAGCAAGTTACTTTTAAAAAAAGTAAATAACAACAACCTGTAGGAAAAATATGAATAAAATCAGAATCCAGAGTTGCTATATTATGTAAAATATCCAGGTTCAAGAAAAAATTATGAACCATACTGGAAACTGTGACCCATACTTGGGGGGGGGGGGGAGTAACCATTAAAAACTGTATTTGAATGGGACCAGATACTGGATTTAGCAAAGACTTCAAAACAGTTATTATACATATTTTCAAAGAATTAAAGGAAATCATGCTTAGAAAAGTAAAGAAAATATAATGACAATGACTAAACAAATAAGAAATGTCAATAAAGAGCCATGAAAAGCAACCAAATAGAAATTTTGTAGTTGAAAAGTACAAAACCAAAAGGAAAAATTCACTAAGTGGTCTGAAGGGCACATCTCATATTGCGTAAGAAACAATCAGTGAAAGTGAAGATAAAACATCAGAAATTATCCAACCTGAGGAAAAGAGGGGAAAAAAAGATTAAAGAAAATTGAATAGAGCATTGGAAACTTATAGACAACTTCAAGTTTATCAGCATACATATAATAGGAGTCTCAGACAGAGAAAAGAGACAGGGAAAAAAAAAAAAACCTAGACAAAATAATAGCTGAAAACTTTCTACAGATCCAAGAAACTCAATAAACCCAAAGTAGGATAAACAAGAGTTTCTCACCTAGATATACCATAATCAACCTGCTGAAAATCAAAATCAACGAGAAAATCTTGAAAGCAGGAAAAAAAAAAAAAAAAGACTCATTACATACAGGATAGTCTATTCAACAAATTGTGCTGGGCCAACTGCGTAGCCATATCCCAAGAAATGAATTTAGACCTTTACCTCATACCATACACAAAAATTAACTCAAACCTGATCACAGACCTAACAATACCAGTTAAAATTCCTAGAACAGAGATCAGCAAACATCTTATGAAAGGGGCCATAAAGTAAACATTTACGTTATGTTGGCCATAAGGTCTGTCACAACTATTCAGTTCTGTCATTAGAGCAGGAAAGCAATCACGGACAATTTGTAAATGCACGGGTGTAGCTATGTTCTAATCAAACTTTATTTACAAAAACATGGTGGGACAAATGTGGTCCTCGGTTTGTAGTTTGCCAATTCCTGTTCAAGAAGAAAACAAGAGAAAATCTTTGTGACCTTGGATTAGGTAAATATTTCTTAAATATGACACCAAAAACCATATCCATATAAGAAAACAACAGATAACATGAAGTTCATCAAAATTAAAAACTTTTGCTCTTCAACAGACACCATTAAGAAAATGAAAACTCGACTCACAGAATGGGAAGGAATCTTTACAAATCACATATCTGATAAAGAACCTGTATCTAGAACATATAAAAATCTCTTACAACTCAGTAATAATAAGATAAATTACCCAAATAAAAATTGGGCAAAATATATGAATATATATTTCACAAAAGAAGATAAACGAATGACTAATAAGCACACAAAAAGATGCTCAACATCATTAACATAATGAGAGCTCACTACACATCCATCATAATGGCTGTAATCAAAAAGACTGACAACAGCAGGTATTGGCCAGGATATGAATGAACTGCAGCCCCTGTGCACTGCTCATGAATGTAAAATGGTATAGCCACTTTGGAAAATAATTTAGCAGTTTCTGAAAAAGAAAAAACATAGACTTATCATTGACCCACCAACTCTACTCCTAACACCTATCCAAGAGAAATGAAAACATGTTCACACAAAGACTTGTACAAGAATGATCATACAACCAAAAAAAACAACCAAACTCGTTGCCGTCAAGTAGATTCCGACTCATAGAGACCCTACAGGACAGAGCAGAACTGCCCCTTAAGAGCGCCTGGTGGATTCTAACTGCCAGTTGCCGGCCTTTTGGTTAGCAGCCGTAGCTCTTAACCACTATGCCAGCAGGGTTTCCAAGAATGTTCATAGCAAAGTTAAATAGCCAAAAACTGGAAATGACTCAAATGATCATCAACTGGTGAATGAACGAACAAAATGTAGTACATCTACATAAAGTACAATTTGTACCAAATGTACCATTTGGTAAGAAAAAACAATAAACTACTGATACATGCATACGAGCACATGGATGAACCTCAAGATATACTACGTAAAAAAGGACAGCCACAAGAGATTACATCTTGTATGATTCCATTCATCCCAGAAAATGCAAATCCATAGCAAAAGAAAGCAGATCAAGGTTATCTGAGGTTGCAA